GTAAGAAAAGTAAACATACCACCTGTAATGATATAGATTTTTTATTATTTGTTGTCTTTGGTAAAAGTCTAAAAAGAAATAAAATGTTAATTAAAATACTGAGCCACATCTAGTATAAGCAGTGGGCGTAGTCTGTTAGTAGCACCTGAGATCGTGTTGTCTGTTATTATATTAGAATGCGGGTAAAACTTTATTATTTAATAGTTGAACTACCGTCCTTGTACGCTTTCAAAAGAAAAAAAATTGTAATAATATGTCTCTCTGTGTTCTCATGTAAGCGAGTTATTTATAATTCTTAAGTGAGAATAAATGTCTTAAACCACATATTTATTAAAACTTGTGTAACTGTGTGATATAGTTCAACTGTTTTTCTTTCATCTACCATTTTGCTCGCTATAGTGAGGTGAAAAGTTGTGTGTTTCACACGACAGCAAAGTTGTTTTGCGTCTCGTGCCGTGAAACCCTCGTTACGTTTAGGATTCTATTTTTAAAATCTTAGAATCCTTCGCTTGCTCAGGTTTCAATACAAGCACTCGTGTCAAACAATAAATTTGCAGCCTTGCATAACAAATAACTATTATCAAACAATACTCTCATAAACCAGTTAGGTAATTGATTAGATAGGTACGGTATTTGACAAGTTAGGAAAATTAAATGCATTTATAAGCGATTAAAATAAACTTAAGCAATTATCATCGTCAACACATTACACGTTCTACTACTGGATACGGGTTTCCTTTAAAAAAACTTACGCTCATAGTATGCCACACTAATCCAATACATGCGGATACTTCACAAATTTTCCAGGGGTAGTCAATCTTTTTCGACATGTAAGTTTTATCACGAAATTTTTCTTCGTTAACGAGAGGCACTGCTACAAAAGAGTCATAACAAACTTAAAGCGATTAAATTTGAAAACATAACTGAAATATATTTCAAAATATCATAATTACATGCATTCAGAAACAGCGAGTTAGAATTAGGTGGAATAGTTTTTGTGGCTTCATTAACTTTTTGATTTGCTAAAAAAGGACAGATTCATTACACCATTTATATAATAATAATATGCCCGGCAACTACACCAGTTTAGTAGCAATATAGTTTAGCAGCAGTACAGCTCCTTGTAGTTTGAGTACCACGATAGCCAGACAGGCATATACACCGACAAAGGCTTCAAACTTACAACTTCCCTCTTTTTGCGTCAGGGATAATAAAGGTTTATTTCCTGATCTCACGTACCGTAAAAACTATATTAATAGCAGTAGAGCTCCTTAAAAAAGAGTTTGTCCAGGGAAGTACTGCCACCTTACCCATTTCTGCCGCCAAGCAGTAATGTGAGCATAACTGTTTTGGACTAGTCAACGTACGTCTTCTCACGTGACGGGCACAGTGGCAGTGTCCCTCAAATTAAGACTCTAAATGGCACTGCAACACGACTTATTCGTCCTGTCACAAATAAAAAACCTAGTCTTAAAGTAGGGAATTCCCTGTACTATGAGTACCAAAGCAACAAAATTCACTCTTACCCAGAACACCCAGACTAGAACCAATTTAGAAAATTTCATTTCCCAAATAGGGAATCGAATCCGGGACCTTCTTATCCAGCGCCCACAGTGCAAGCCGTTCGACCACCGAGATAGTAATGATTATATCTTATATGAGTGAGTTCAACGAAGCAATTAAAGAAAATTAAGACAACCACCCCATATGCTGCGAATATATTGTTATACTGTGATGCTGCTATCCTGTGTACGCGATAAGAAATACTGTCAAGGTTTAGCTACTATTTACTAACATTTATCTCTTTTATTTGCATAGACAAAGTAAAGTAAAGTCTATTACATTCTAAAATACATAAAACTTACAAATTTCTAAAGACGCAAAGGTATTTGACATAGGAACTAGGTAAGACATTTTTCGAGATTCCCGACGATTTTTTGACATTTTAGAGACACAAGATTGATGTTTTAGTCTCGATAATATCGAGTTGAAACTTTAGTATTTCAATTGAATAGTACTAAAAAATTTAACAGTGCTTTTTTATTCGTATTATTTGGACATGGTAACACTGTAAAGTGTAGCTTTTCATATTGTATGGATATTGTAAACGATAACATGGCAAAATTACATTAAACGCCCTTTCTTTCTTACGTGCCCACAATAAAAATCAAAATATTCACACAAATAATTTTCGATGAAATAATTAGAGTTAATAAGGCAATTTATTCAAATGTTATAAATTAATAACAGTAAAATAGTTCATCCAGGGAAGTACTGCCTCTGAATTTATTTCTGCCAAGTGCTGGTGAAAATCTCTCGAGGTGCAACTGTACCCGGGACTGGATGCGACTCAAATTTAATTATGTTTGACAAACAACCAATCCCGGGATCACTGAATACTCACATTTGGGCTCCAGACCCAGTGTTCAGATGCTACAAACCCGAAATTACAAGTACATTTGTCAACTTGAGCCAACGTGGCGGACTTATGACTTTAACTCGCATCTTAGATAAGATGCGTGCCCAGAAGTGGAAAGGTTGATGATGAGAAAGTACATTTAAAATATGGCTTAACATAATGACATCAGTATAAACATAGAAGAAATGCCAAACAAAACTAGAAAGTATTGGTTGGAAATAGCGTTGAGTATGCCGTGTACATCGGGTAAGAAGTGAATAAATTTTGCAATATACCTGTGTATATATAATAGCCTTCTGTTGATCATACGTTTCATTAGTTATCTTACGTAGTGCATTCTATTAGTGTTGATAGATTACAACTGTGTGGTTCCTTTTCGGGAAAAATAATGGAGGTTTTTTTTAAATTATGGTAAAATATCTTTTTTATACTTTGGACCATAAAAAGTAAAAGGATCTTCAATTTTAGGAAAGTAAAAAAATTGAATGATCAAATTCTTTTAAAGAACTTGCGAAACCAAATAATTACCACAAAGATTTATGATGCGAATGTGAATGGAAGTGTTTCAAGAGGCCGTCTCACAAGGATTTATATTGACCAGATCAGTGATGTCCTCAAAAACGCTGGGATCCGAAGTGTCAATAATAGAACAAGTTGTAAGAAAAGGGTAGTTGATGCATGTGAGGCTGGAAAGTTGTGTCATGATCTGTCTACCCCTCCTGTGGGACAAGGGCGTGAGCTCATGTATGTATGTATGTAAAATGCAGGAAGCTTGGTAAAAGGTGTTTGTAGTCAAATTAAATAACACAGATTTCTTATTTGAAGTACATTTCCACTATTAAGTACCGGATCCTAGTCTAGATGTTCCGGGTAGTGCACTGGCACTCGTAGTATAGGGAATATTAGTTTGAAACCAGGCAATCAGTGTGATTGTCTGGCACATTATTATTATTATTGGAGTTACACTATAGTGTTGAACCAAAACACGGCAAGTCCCAGTTGTATTTTGTAATTTCACCACAAGAAGAATATATCGACTGTTATAAGGGGAAAATAAATGTATTAATATTTCAATACACATATGTTTTCCTTTAGCCCTTACTAGGGAAACCCTGTGTCACAGGTGCCATGGACACGCACATAGACAACCACAAGTTACATCCAAACACACGAGAGATACAAATGTTGGCCATGCAAATAATTAACCCGGCCCGGGAATCGAACCCTGTACCACGCAGAGTGGCAGTTTAGCATGGTAATCGTTCAGCCACAGAGGCAGTAAAAATTATTCGAAGTAAAATAATAATAACTGGATAGAAGTCTTTGATATCTTATGTGCAAAACAAGTTAAATGTAACTTTCATATTATTATACACAACTTTTTCTTAAAGTACTGTTTGATAGGAAATTAAACTATTTTTCCGGATTTAAATCTCGTATATTTGTTTTTTTAAACAAACCAACGTTTCAGACCCTTTACAGGTTCCATGGTTACGGTTCACGTTCGATTGTTTGAAAAAACAAATATACGCGACTTAAATCCGGAAAAATAGTTTCATTTCCTATGTACAACAATCTCCAAAACCTAAGAACTCGATGTGCTGTTTGATGCGTTTGTTTCACAAAGTAGTAGTACAGCAGCTGACGACCTAGTTCTGCGTCAATGGCCCTAAAGGGCCGGCACTGAATCTATTCGAAATTATGCATTTTTTTATAGGAATGAAACTATTTTTTCGGATGTTAATCGAGTACATTTGTTTTTTTTAAACAGTACTAACGTGGCCATTGACCCTGTAAAGGACCCGAAAAGTTGGTTTTACGTAGTTTCATTTACGATGTATACAGTTATAACCCAATTATATTATTAACCCAAGAAAAAGATGAATAACTAATTGTCAATAATATTATTATCGACGTGCTTCGTTACATGAATAATTACAAAATTATCACAAATATAGGGTAATTCCTGTAATAAACAGGCAACACGCCGTAACACTGGTAGTTCTCTTTCGCCGCCGTACTGTATATGAGTTTATTTTTGGTAATTTCATTGCTCGATTTCGTAAAGCGAATGTAATACTTTAACTGTCGTTGCAAGTAAATCTCGTGCGGCTCGTATTCCTTGAGCCCTACGAGATTTTCTTATAATGATGGTGACGTTCGACCGTCTGTTTGTTTGAGGATAAGTGATATCGTGTAACTTTAGTGCCTCCTTTACGAGTAAAGATTTTTACTGTATTATGATTTTCACATAACTTAAATAGCATGATTTCTGAATTTGTAATAACGTTCATTATTTTGAAATTGTCGTTAAGCATCACAATTCTGTAGCACGATTTCTAAAGTTTTTAATTCGATTGTTAGTTTTGTCATTAATACAAAAAACCAGACTTGTGTTTCTGTGAATAACTAATCACCTATTTATATTTTACTTACAAATAACAATTAGAACCAGTAATCCAATACAAATGTTTTTTCAAGCTATTCTCATTCTTCAGGTACTCTTATGCAACAAAAAATATAAAATCGACATAAATTATATAAGAAATTTTAATTGAATTTACTTATTTCTCAATTCCAGATCGCTTTACTCCTCGCCGGCATAATCGCGCTCAAAAAGATTATGTCTCAGAAGAACAGCGGTGGCGGCCACGAGAGCCACGGCTGGTCGTCCGGAGGTGGTGGCAGCGGTGGCTGGGACAGACGGTCTTATAACGATGTCTCTGAACTCGCTTATTCGGCTTATAAGAAACTGTAATAGAACTCTAAGCTCTTGAAGTGGGATGTGATAGTCTTTGAGATGAGATACGTGTAAAAGTGTTAAACGTGTTGTGTTTTGAATATTATGAACTTTTAGAAAAGTAATGTTATTAATTCATTTATTAGAGGATGTTTTTATTAGAATTGAACATAAAGTTATTAATGGCTTCAGAACAACTAAAACATATAAGAAAAGTGGGCCAAATTATAGTATAACGGCATGCTCTCTTTTAGAATTTAGAAAATTCGACTAACGAATAATTAAATATTCAAATTTTTTGAATTCTTTTTATCTAGTTCCATACAAAACCGTCATCAATGAGACTATTGCATCTAACGTAGCTCAAAAAATCAATTAGGCGTTTCGACACGAACAATTTTTATAAACGGCTTTAATTTTTAATTTTTAGTTAGAAACCGAATCGGCCGTCTTTAATTCGTAAAGATGTGTCATTTTCTAGTTTCAACGAGACATTTGTTTCATGATTTTGTTTATTTTTTTTTACTTTTTAGTTATTTTTAAGAGACGGGGTGGCTGTTTTCACCAAAAACTCAGTGATATATTTTTTTAATGGGGATTTTGTTTTTATTTTTATTTCCCACCTTTATTTGAAACATATGTCTCGTAATTTTTAGTTATTTATATGTGCTATCTAATTTAATTAATTTGTAATACTAACCTAACTGGAAGATATGAGATATGGGACGTCTTATTATTTTTAAATGAAATTGCCTCATAGAGACAATACGAAGTACTTTTTATTAAAAGATATTTATTCTAGAAATAAGGAAGATGTAAGGATTTTTTATAACATATTTTATTTGAAACATTTTTGTGCCTGAATACTCATTAATTTATTTATAATTTTTGACCTGCGTGCTATTGTACTTTTAAGTTTTTAGTTTGTTTTATTTTTAACTTATTTTTTTGAAAAATTAATTTATTTCGTCAATAGCTTTAAAGAGTGTTAATTTATTTTTTTGTTTTGTATTTCTATGTCTAGTTAATGATGCATTTCTATGTTGTTTACGACAATTTTACTTTATGACGTGATGATAATGAATAAATAAAATTTAAAAAATGCGTATTTCTATTCTTCTTTTCTTCTTAGCAAGAGAATTCTATATTTACAAAACGCGTATCACGCATTTAAGCGTCATGTAGGCACAATTCACATTGCCGCAGAACGGAATGGTAAGGAATATTTATAACGAAATTGTACAGAAAACAGACCATTAAGCTCTACTTTTGATCGAATATTGCCACCAGTGCTACGGAACAAGACCCATCAATGCATAGCTTTATGTGCTGCCGTATGTATATAGCATAATATTATCAATCAATTGTGTAACGCAAAAACTAAATACGATACGGTAGGTGAAGGAATTCCCAAAACTTGTTAATTCTGGTTTGTCTAGTTGACTAGTTTCTACAGACAGCAGCACATCAAGCTACACATCGACGGATCTTATTCCATTGCACGAGAGGTGATATTTGAACAGAAATAAATTCAGTAGCAGTAGAGCTCCTTGTGAAATAGTTCACCCAGGGAAGTACTGCCACCCTAATCTATATCTGCCGCCAAGTAGTAATGTCAGGATTACTGTGTTCCGGTTTTGAAGAGTAAGGTTGCTTGTGGAATTACAGGCACATGGGACTTATCAACTTATTTCACAGGGTGACGGGCGCAGTGGCAGTGCGCCTCAGATCTTAACTTTTATGGACAGATGTGTAACTTATCATTTTTCTTTTAGACGAACTATTTTTATACCATTTTTCTTGTTCGTCCCGTCTTATTATTATATACTTAATATTATTTAAAAAAATCTTGTCTCCGAACACTACTTGTAACACCCAGTAAATTATTTTTATTCAATAATCAATTTAAAAACTAATAAAATATTTGTTATTACTTGTAAAAAACTAATGGAGTTATTTCACCGAAAACTATTTGAATACCAAATTTCAAAACGCTTATTTTCTTAAATTGGTCCGAACTGTCATTGCACCTGGAACCTTCTAATGTAGCATGCAAGATCCTGACTGTTAAGAATGTAATACAATTAAGTAAGCATGTATGTAATAATAAAATTACTAAAGGTAATATAGTTCAGGCGTTAACATCGACGACCTAGCTTTTTCCAGCCCTATGCTATCATTAGCGATGCTAGAAATGTAAATAGTCTAACGTGCATTTGGAAAAAATTACATGAGAGCGATTAAGAGCGGTTACACACGGCGACTTTAGCAGCGATGCAAACACGATGCAATCGCTAATCGTCTACCTTTTCACGCGGGCGTGATTTTAAGCTGCGATCCAAACGCGATGCAAGCGCGCGACTGCATTGATACAAACTCGCCATTCCTTCGTAGCGATTCGTAGCGATTCAAACGCGCGTTTCACGAACGAGCATTTGCATCGCTGCTAAAAGTCGTGTGTAACCACTCTTAAAGTATTTTTTTTAATATGTCATATGGAAAAGCTGAAACTTTCCAGTTTTCCATATAACAAATAAAATTAGAGTTGTTTTTTTTTTTCATAAAAAAACTTTAAATCGCTCTCCTGTTATATTTTCCAAACGCATGTTAGACGTTTTATATTTCCAGCGTCAATATGATAATCGTATTATTTTTGTAACCATGTTTTAGTACGTATAGGTACCATTTAAAAAAAATATTTCTTTGAATTTAAGTGAGTTTCCTTAGCAAGTCAAAAAATGTTCTTTGTGATAAACTTACAGACATTGTCTTAAATTTATTGAATAATTCAGTATGTACTCTTGACGTAGATAATAGGTTGGTTTTCTTGCTTGTAAGTGTTTGTGTCTTGGTTGGTAAGTGCTTGTTGTTAATATATACTGTTTATTAAATAATTAATACATTCAGGCGTGACTTTATGGAAATCCATGTTAATAAAAATGGTAATAAATCAATTTATTGCTACGCAAAACCAGTGAAAGTCAGCTGCAAAATAGCTACGCTTGTGTTGAATGTAGATACACAATGTTAATAATTTTATAATATGCACTCTTTATTGTTCCTATTTCATTAATGAACATTAATTTAAAACGTTTGTGTTTTCAAAGAATGAAATGTTTGATTTGTCTGCAAGTACAAAAAAGCCATGGTAGCCTGATTTTACTGCCAAGCAGAGGCCGTGAGTTCGAATCCAACTCGCATCGCTAAGGCTCAATTTATATTGCAGCGGAACGAAATATTGAAGAATGAACTTTATGGTCAATAGTGAAATTACAAATTAGATACGAGCCAAAATCTTGCAGAATTCTCTCAATCCTCGCACATTCCGCGGAAGATTTTGGCTCGTATCTAGTTTGTAAGTTACGCAATTGACAATAAAGTTCATTATACAATGTATAATATCGTCACAAAAATTCGGTTCCGTTTTGTTCCGCCGCAATGTAAATTGAGCCGGAATTTATGAGCAAAATTTAATTTGAAATTTACCAAGAGCTTTTCGGTGAACCCGCATTGGGCCAGCGTGAAGGGCTACGGCCTCTCTCTCGCCTGAGAAGAGTCCCGTGCCCGACAGTGGGACGTATAAATGGATTGATGATGATGATTGGAGGAAAATCCGTAATGTATGTTTTAATTTCTATTCTTTTAAGTGTTATGAAGCTGTTGTTTTTAAAACTTCGTTTTCCACGAATAAATTAATGAAAAGTAATATCTCGAATGAATAAATATTGATGGTTCGAACCAGGATTGTTATGAATATCAGCATCTACATCCGCGCATAGTCTACATAAATAAAATATCCGCATCCGGGTCACACTCTGCAATTAATTGCGTTATTCCATGCGGATGTTCGAGTCGTAACATGACCTAAAATGCAAGCCGAAAAACAGCTCAGCTATTTTTTGTTTATTTATTTAAAACTTAACATCTACCATTACAGTTATAAACAATGCTATAGTGTACAAATTCATATGTAGATTCTTACATTAAATCCATAATTAAAAAAGAAATTAACTACTCGTATAAAATTATTATAAAATATGTAAAGTCAAAAGCACACCAAGCTTGATACTTTGTACTTTGGACCGTTCTTATCGTAAGCGGCATAGAGTTGGATTTAAGTCTTAAATCTGACCCTGTACATTGCAAATAGCACATAGTGTTATTCTTGTGAATTCACACAGAGTACATGAAAACAGGTCCGTTCTGTCTGCAACATTACCTAGGATTTGCAAAGCTTATGTGAGCGGGGCCTTCTGGCTCAGATTAGTCCGGCCACGCGGCACTGGTAACAACCGCGGTTTTCGTCGCCTCCGTAGATAATCATTTGTCACGTACAAAGACACCCTCTCCAGTATAGGGTTAAAGATTGACCCTCTAAGTAGTTTAAAAATAATTTGAGCTAATGCGGATGCCGACGTACATCTAGTATATTATAACCACGCTTGTTGTTTTTAAAATACAACAAAATTCCACTACGATTAAGCTACGCACGACTGATTGTTTTCATGCAGATTGATTGTTTTGTTAATAAATGTCTTAAAATTACTGACATAATATTTTATGACTTATTGGTCTTGACCAAAGAAAATCGGAAGCCTTTTCGGTAGATAGATTCAGTAAGAATGTATATTTTTCGCGTTTCTTTTTTAAATATAAAAACAGCATTCGCTAATATTAAGATCAATGTGTGTATTCAGTAGCAGTACGTCGCGGGTAGTACTGCCACCTTACCTATTTCTGCCGCCAAGCAGTAATGTCAGCATTACTGTGTTCTAGTTTTGAATGGTTAAGGTGCTGGTGAAATTACAGGCACCTGGAATTTGTATACTTATGTCACAGGGGGACGGGCGCAGTGGCAATGCCCCTCAGATCTTTGCAATTTAAAGCTCTGAAGGGTACTGTAACTATTATGAACAGGCGTATAGCTTACCATCAGGCGCACGACTAGTTCGCCCCGTCACTTGATGTTATAAAAAAAATGTGTAGAACCTTGCATCTGCAACAACCCTGGTTGACACGTATGTGCGGCTTTAATTGCAAAGTTACATACATTTGTGAAAGTTTGTTAGTTCACCTCTTGTTAACGGTCAATGTTAACACCTAGGTAGAACCTGCACGTCTAAGGACTCTCTCATTAGAGGAGACCCATGTCCAACAGTGTAACGAATAACGGTTTGTTGATGAAACCGATATTGAGGTTACCCAGCAAACACTGCAAGACATTTTACGTTCAATATTACTAAGTTGGAGATTACAATCGCGTCATAAAGATCATTCGCCACTGAGATATACGTATAATTAAACTAATCTTAAATATATAGTGTAAACACGTTTTTCCGTACACGTTGTATTTGTACAATTGAATCTTTTAAACACAGCGCCATCTACCGAGATCTAAGAGAACTTACTACAGAACTAGTATTGTAAAGAACCGTCATAGTTACAGAAAGTACTACAACCAATGTAATACAGGATTTGATCGTTCGCTATTTCAAAATAGTTTATCTGTTAAACTTTTTTAATAGCTTTAATATTTTTTTTACACTTTTTTCATTAGATTAATGGTTCAAACACGACAGAGAAGTGAAAAGCCACTTGTTAAGCTGTATAACAAGGTTTAACAAAAATGGAAATTATATAAAAAATATGTGGAATGGAATATGAAACTATTTTTTTCGGATTTAAGCGCGTATATTTGTTTTTTCAAACAAACTTACGTTTCGGGCCCTGTTGAAAAGGTTGTAAACCGCCAATAGGGAGCAATAAAATGGATTATTCGGTCACATAAATTTATTGTATACGATAAAGGTAAAAGAAAGGGCCTGAAAGGGCCGTACTTTACAAGTATTACTAGATTTTAGTGGTATTAAATAGGCACTTGATTTAA